CCACCACTCTAACCCTAGAATCAGCATCCTCTTATTTTCCTTTATAGGTGTTTTAAAATTTGGGTTGTTTGTAACTTTGATAGTTCTGTGAGTCTGAAGGTTCAGCAGAAACTAAAACACCCCTTTGGTGAATGTATTTGTTTCCCATTCCTATGAGACAAAGTACCGCAAACTTGGCAGTCTAAAATAAGACCCATTTATTGTCTCTTAGCTCGCAGGTCAGAAGTCCAGGTACTGCACGACTGGGGTCCTCTTCTCAGTGTCATGAGGATGAAATCAAGGTACTGACTGGACTGTGTTCTCATCTGAGGCTCAGATCCCCTTCCAAGCTCCCTGGTTGTTAAAAGAATTCAGTTCTTTGTCATTGTAGGACTGAGGTCTCCTTTTTCTTGCCAGCTGTCAACCAGGGGCTGTTCTCAGCTCCTAGAGGCCTCCTGCAGACCCCCACCATGTGGCCCTCTCACACCACAGCAGTCTGTTCATCCAAGGCCAGAAGGAGAGCACATCTCACACTTTGGATCCCTCTGACTTCAAGAAGGACCCAATCTCTTTTAAGGGTTCACCTGATTAGGTCAGGCCCACCTGGATGATCTCTATTTGATTAACTCACAGTTAACTGATTAGTAACCTGATCATGGGAGCTATATTCCATCTAATTCAGACTCTGTCCACATGACAGAAGAGAGGGTTATGCAAGGCATGTCCACCAGGAGCAGGACTCCCAGAGACCATCTTAGAATTCTGCCTACAGCACAGCGTATTGCAGCCTCTTTTCCTGGGTTCTCCCCAGTCCCAATGCTGACTAGTTGTCAGTGCAGTGGTAAGAAGAGACAAGGAGAAAGTCACAGCAGACCTCACCAGGGACTGCTCCTGCCTAGCACTGTTCCTTTGTTGACATTACAGCCATAGCACTCTCTGAAAAATGGAGATTCAATTAATCTGTTCACTTTACTTACAGATACTCTGAAGAGATTAAAAAAAAAAAGCCAAATAGAAGGGAGACTCATAGAAGAGGACTTGCTACTTTTAGAAGTCTAATAACACGGCTCCTGATCTTGACCACAGGTCCTGGCCCTTCGAGGGGAGGGAGGGACTGAAGGCTCCTGTCCTTCTCCCGGGGCCGGTGTGTCGCAGCAATCGTTCTTTGTCCAGTTAACACGGAAGCTTCACGGTGGAGCCTGTGGTTGCAGAAGGACAGCGCATTCCCTGTTTGGGAAAGGGATCTGTAGCTCCTAAGAAAAGCCCTGCCCGCATCGCTATGGGCTGGAATGAACTGGATGGCTGTCTCGCCACCTGGATTTCACTGGGTGACCCCATCAGTCTTTTACAGATTTTTGTGATTTTCCTTTTGATGTTATCAAGAAACAACTTACATTGGTCAAGAAATCACTTCGGCTGTGTAAACTGTACAAAAGGCAGAGACATCAAGAGACAGTTCTTTTGACTGCTTTACGAGCCAGCATATATATGACTGAACTACCTCTGCAGCAACAAAAAGAAATTATGAAGATTTTAACAAACACCAAATCAGGCACGGCCCAGATGTAAAGACAAGCTAGCTGTAAGAACAATTTGAAAATAGAGTGCTTACGAAAACTTCTTAGTCCTTTAGCAACCACAGTGCATTCCTGCTGGCCTAAATGAATGGTTTTTCAACTGAGCCCCGGCTCTCTTAGTGGCGACTGTAAGTTAGGGAGCTTGTCTCAGGGCCTTCCACTGTTGTTACACCCAGAGCAGCTCCACTGAATTTTTTAAGAAGCCGTGTAAAGATACTTGGGAGGGTATGGGAAAATTCCACGCCCAGAAAGCATCTGGAAGTCCTAGGCCCGTGTAAATTCTGCAGTCCTTTTTATGGAAGAAAACCCAGAATTCTGACTAACCCCTACGAAGTCAAGAGTTAACGACTACAGCTAAATAAAGTTTTTAACCTGCCTTAGAGACCAAAAGGATACTTCCCAACACCTCCAACCGCAGTCCAACAATATGGATCACAACATTTTCAGACAATTTGTGAGGATGCTGTATTAACTTTATAACAGAGTATAAGTTTCAAGTCATTTTTTAAATTTTAAAAATGATGTGAAATGTAGAGTCAGAAAACAAAGTTGTTTCTATGACTGTGGCCCTCAGACCCACGTCAGAGCCCATTTTGTCACCACAGTGGCAACTGGTGTCTGCAACAATGCTGCAGCGTTGGCATCTGTCATTGCTTAAACAGCACGACTGGGCGTTCCACACTGTGTACAGTTCTAACATCATTCTGTGAATCCATGTGGCATAAACTAAACAAACACAACTCACATCGGCATTTCAAGAATTTAACTTCATAAAAAGAAAGGCATAATATGCCAGCATTTTAAAATAACAACCAACTGAAAAAACAGAATCTCAGGCCCTACAGATAGGGCCTGAGACAGCGTAGACAGAGAACACATATAAAGTCCCTCTCCCAACTCCCCCGTGATACACAGGCCCTCGTAAGAGCAACACCCGAGGAGCGGAGGTAGGGATGGGGGGTTAGAGTGCCAGTTTCACCCACCACCTGAGACGCAGGACTGCAAAACAGAAATTAAGTTGTAAAAATGCAAAGCTTCTATCGTTTCCACAAATCTATGTCTGAGAAATGACGGTCATAACTGCTTGAAAGCTTACTGAATGAATAACTAGAGAACTTAATGCAAATAATGAGCTGGCTAACTTTCTGAGGACTGGTGACAAGTTTACATAATTTTAAAAGTACCAACTGAGGCAGATCTTAAAATCCAAGACAATACATGCACATATATTCAAGTAATAGGATATATTCAAAGCCATTTTGAAAAAAAAGTGCAAGCTCAGTTTGAAATGAAATATTTATACAGTACTTTGTTAAACATCATCTTGTTTACATGCTCTGGGTAACACTACCCAACAGAACCTCCCGACATGATGTAAGTGCTCTCGAGCTCTGCTGTGCAGCAGGGCGCTGCTGGCTAGAGGTCAGTGCTGAGCACTTGAAACCTAAGTTTCCACCGCTGGAAACTCAGTTTTTACCTTTATTTCACTTACATTAATGTAGCTTCAAATAACCCCCGGGGGCAGGGGCCAGCCTAGGGCAGCAGAGCTGTGAAGCACGAGCAG